TTCGCGAAATTTGAAAACATGCTACGTTTAGTCATTTTACTTTTCTCCTTATCATTGATCAAATTTCATCAGTGTTATCAATCATTTTTATCATATTTTTTGAAAGACTGATATTATATTTTTATTTACATTTTTCATTTATATTTATTGTGAATTTTTGTAATACTAAATAAGACAAAGAAGAAAATAGCAAAACTAACAACAACAACTTAGGTAGGTATTAATGTATTATATAACATTATTATTAACATTATTATATAACATTATTATATAACATTATTATTAATTTTTGGAAGTGAATATGGATGTTATTAATTAAGGAAAAAATGTATGTAAGTTAATTTATTGTAATTATGACATTTATTAAATATTAGATATTATTATACTAGATTGATTTAGGGTACTTTGTAAATAGTTACTTTATAATGAATAGTGAATACCGCCTTCACTAGTCAGTACATACACTTGTGAAAATTAGTAATTACTTTATTAAAATAATTTTAGTATAAATTTAATATATAATATAAATATAATTTTTGTTTAAATATTTACGTCCAATGTTATAAGTATAAAAAAAGCAGGTAAAAAAGTATTTACTTACATAAAAAACTAAAAAACTAAAAAAAAACCTACAGATTTGTAACACCAATATATTCTGCGTTTACTTTAAATCTAAAAATTTTCAAATAATATTAATTATTATACTCACAAAAAATAGTATAAAAAACTAAATGTTGTGGCATAATGTGTCAAATAAAAAATAATATATATTTACAAAAAAAACATAAAGTAACAAGCTATTTTGAACTGTGTGTACCTCCTAATGCTTTATTATTTTCAACACAATATGCCAAGGAATGTGGTGCTTTCGATTTGCGTTTGACTTTGGGTAATCCACTTGATATTATTTGCCCTTTTACATACCCATGTTCTGGAGCTTTTTTCCATTTAGGAGTTCTTCCTGCAGTTAAATTTTTTCGTCCTTTAATTTGTGTTTTTCTTCTTGATCTTGCAGTTGGCTGTGTTCCAATTTGTTTATTGCCTGCTAATTTAGGTTTTTTTGAACTTACATCTAAACCAGAATACCTACCGAATGTTGACAATGCAGAAGAAAGACTAGCATCGGTTTTGACACTTTTATTGTATGAATTTACAAATGCATTCATAGATGGTAAGAAGTATGTTTTGTCAGATAGAATTGACTGTTTCATTTTTTCAATGACTTCATTGAAAGAATCATAAGCTTTGTCAAAATCGTTGTTGGCTGATTCTAATAATTCAGTAACTCCAAATTCATTGTGTGTAGTAATTATTGCCGCATTTTTTATTTTATTATCCACTGTGTTTTCTGTATTTAAAGGAACTAAATCTACCTTTGTTTGACAGTCATTATCATTAACCGAGCCATACCAACCATTCTCAATGTCTGAACTTCCAGAAGCTATTGTGTGGAGTTTTTTCCTAAATTCTTCAGTAGTCGGTGTTCAGTGTTTTGTTTTTTTTTAATTATGCCATGTTTTTGTTGTAAATGTTTTTGCAGGGTAACATTATGTTTGAATTTTTTCTCACATTTATCACAATCAAACGTCTATAAAGAAATTTAATGCATTTTCCATATGTATTTTAATGATGACACTTTGATGCACATTCATAGCAATATAAGTTGCTAGAAATTTGGCTTATACTTAGTAATGTACCAAGTTTCAAGAACAGATTTTTGAGGGAAAAAAATTCAATAAGTTTCCAAAACCATCAATATTAAAATAAACAATTTATTCATAGCTACGTATATTAATTACACACAATAATATCAATGTATTTAATTTGAAATAAAATGTTATTTTTTAATAATACATTAAAAAAATCACAATAATAATATGAGTATAATAAATAAAAACATAATAATAGCATATATTAATTATTATCACCTTCATTGTAAATCAATCTAGTCTAGAAAAAATATAAAATATAAATGAAAAATGAATAATAAAATATAAAATAAAAATATAATATTAGTCTTTCAAAAAATATGATGATATTATATGATAACCTAACCTAATGTAGATATTATATAATTTGGACAGGAGAAAAATTATAAGTAAAAAGTACTACCTAAAACTTGTTGAAGCCACTATACATTTATTGGATACTATACATATATATAAAAAAAACTTTTGAATACAATTTTTTAATCCATTTATACATCAATCACAACCAGATTTTTACTCAAATTTCGAGGTAGATACCTTTAAAAAATTAAACAAAAATAATACCAACACCAACATTAATAATACATTCAAAAATTCACAATAATAATACGAGTATAATAAATAAAAATATATAAAATATAATAGCATATATTAATTATTGTCACCTTCATTGTAAATCAATCTAGTCTAGAAAAAATATAAAATATAAATGAAAAATGAATAATAAAATATAAAATAAAAATATAATATCAGTCTTTCAAAAAATATGATAAAAATGATTGATAACACTGATGAAATTTGATCAATGATAAGGAGAAAAGTAAAATGACTAAACGTAGCATGTTTTCAAATTTCGCTGCCCGTTCAGTACAACGCTTAATTATTTTATCATAAACCGGACGAGAAAAAAATGATAGTTTTAATGAATCGTAGAAAGCTACCATTTGTGTGTACAGAATTCCGGATAAAGTCAAAGCAGATCCAATCAATATATTTCCTAATGGACGTTTATTATTCTTATTTTGTGAACGCCAAATTAATTTATTTTTTCTATCACATATAGTTATAACAGAGAGTATTGGATATAATGTATGAAGGATACAACTGTAGAATTACATTGACGGCAACGATTAAAAAGTGGCAATAAACAATCCCAAAATACAAAAAAACAAGAATTATCTTCTATATTTGATGATGGTTTTTAATGTGTCTGTTTACATCACGGTTATCTACACAGGTTGGCGCACGCCACTATGATGCTAATGCAGACGTGTGGTCTATGCGGTGACCGTAGTGAACTATTAGCGCTAGTAGTCAGTGGGCCTACGTTTACATTTGTATGTACTGGGAAATCGAAGATTTTTTATTCAAATCGTTAATATCGTCCAAACGACTAAAAATACGAATTAAAAACATTCCACAATTATTGTAGACCGTGAAAAGGTGATAAGAACACAACCGACACCTAACCTGGAGATAACATGATAACTACACGAAAAAGACGAACAAAATAATTTTCTAATTTCGACAATATTGTTCTGTAATCTGTATGACTGTATGTCTTTTTGTCAATTGTCATTACTTAATTGGTAGTAGAGAGTTTTATTGAGATGGTGGCTAAGTGTTGTGTAGTTGGATGTACTTCAGGCTACAAAAGCAACACAGAAAAGGTGTCACAGTTTTCCGCATCAAAAGATACTGGTTTACGGCTAAGATGGCAAAAAGCTATTCCAAGGAAAAACTTTGTTGTAAACGACAAGACCTACGTTTGTTCCAAACATTTTTCCGAGGAAGACATAGTACGGTATTGGGAGTCTGGCGGAATAAAGGTTAGGTACTATTTTGATTGAGAAATAAAATTAACTTTAACTCTTAATAAATATAAAATATATTAGAATTTATTACATACTTTTTTTCTTGATATTATTAGATTCAATATACAAGATGCCGATTAAGAGAAGGAGCAGTACCTTCAATATTTCCTGGACCAAGTTACCTATCTAAACCAAATAAACAACCAAGAAAACCACCATGTCTTCGTCAAGGTAACTTGCAAAAAAATTAGTTAATTTTATAACAATTAGTTAGTTATTATATTCAATATTCAGTAGTAGGTATTTAAGAAATATTAAAATCAAGTAAAATTAAATTATCTAAAGATAAAATTTAAAGTTATGTTTTAATATAGCTTTAAATTTAGTTCATAAGTTGAAATAAATATAAATTATGTAAGTTGGTATATTATAGTATATGTATTCCTTTATTTATGTATTTAGCATCTGTTGGTGAGTTGAATAAATCATTGGACAGTGATCATAATGCATCAAATATATTACCTGTGGAAGGTAGGATTTCAAACTCAATATTAGTATTTATACATTTAGTATTGACATATTATGTATTGCAACATTTATCATACTAATAAACGATATTATTTTTTTTTCAGACAATTTGTTTCATGATTTAAACCAACCAGAGTTGTTTCAATGTCCCACTCCATGGATACTAATAGCATGTGATAAAAAAGAAGAATTTTGTATAGCTACTTTAAATGGAGTAGGTGAAGTTCCTATTATAGAGAAATGTATTAAAGTCAATAAAGATTGTCAAGTATCTTTTTGGATTAATGGTCAACAATTTGGGTCTGATGAACTTGGTATTACACCTGGAAAAAGTGTCACACAGTTCAATGATAATATCAAAGCTTTTGAATTAATTTTAGTGTGTCAAGGTGGGCCTTCAGCTAAACAATTTCCAATATTTTCTGAAGCATTATGCACTACTTCTTCGGTTGGTCTTCTAAGGCATAATGAATGTGAGGCCATAATAAAGACTAAATCAAATTGTTGTCCAAAATGCCTCATCGGCGTTTTTAAAAATATTAACTATTAAAAAAGTTGTGGTTATTTAAAAAAATTTAAAAAAAGAGTTTTTGTGCCTTCAATATCTAGCTGTGTATTTAGATTAATTCAAAACCCCGATGAGGTTCCCTCCGAAATATTGTTCTCTTTAAGTTTTATTATAGGTATTTTTACTCTAAAACCACTTTTTGATGCCGATTCGTTTGTTTTCCGTGGACGTAATTTACTATGTTACGCGTTTGTAAGACGGAGACAACACATGCGGGTGTGGCGTCCTCTTAACCAACTACTAAATAGGTTTTATTACATAAAGAATAAGTAATGAACAAAGTAATAATAACATATTATGTTTATTTGATATTTTATTTTACAGATATTTTATAAATAAAATAAATTATAACTGGGTAAGAAAGACTTCTAGTCATTAATTATTATTTGCTGACGTCAGTCATTTAGAGAGTTTTTCGAAGTATAAGTCAAGTGTTGGGGGAATTATTTTTTTATGTAATTAAATTACATTAGATACTAATTAAGTACTCAGCTTTCAAATAAAGTAATTAAAAAAATTATAATTTATAATAACGATTAGAATTATTTCATCACGAGTGAACTCCAGCCGGTAACCAGTTAGGCCTTGTGACTACTAGCGCTTTAGTTCACTGCGTTCGCCGCATCGACCAGCGATAACACACCGTGCGCCAACCTGTGTAGATAACCGTGGTTTACATTCATAAATTTCTTCTTTCTTCATACTCTTCTTCTTCTTCTTCTTCTTGGTTTTCTATTTCAAAAGATATGTCATTTGTAGGCTTATACAATTTGTAGCACTCATTGCCTAAATCACACTGTATGCATTTATCATTCGGATTATCACTGAAGTAAATACAATTTGGATTATAAATATCTAGACATTATCGTCTTCGGAATCAGATTCATTAAAATTGTTTACGAAACTGTCAACTTTTAATTTTTTTACCGATGTGTTTGTTGAATTTAGTTTTGATATAATATCTTCTTCGTTTCTTTTTCGGGATATTCTTATACTTGGAGGTGTTTTGGGTCTAAGATCATCGACTTTGTAAATGGTTGGAATAGAATCAGAATTTAAATATAACTTTATTTTTTCATTTGGCAGTACCTGTTTTTGTAGTTTACTCGATTCTGTAAAATCTTTTTCTTGAAAATGTTTTGAACATATTCTAGATTCACTACCCGGGACAAAATCTTTACGTTTACAAAACACTAACCATTGTTTAAATCTAAGTGGTGATTTATTTCTTTATGGAAAACTATAAAAATTTATATTTTCAGATTGGCTGCAAGTTGCCCTTTTCTTATCATTATTTGAATTGCAACCAAATACAGAACAAAGAACCATTTTACCCCTAAAATAAATTACACCATTTTGTTTTAATGTGAATAATTTTTAATTTTAATGTATGTATATTAATATCAAAACATAAAATATATTTTAATATTAATTAATATGGTTATAACTTATATACCATAAAGATAATATTATAAAATAGGTACATTGTACATATATATTAAAATAAATATATGAATATTGTATGTTTAAAAATGTAATAATAAGAAGTGTTCTCATTAATATTACAAATATTGAAATATTTATATTTTATATATTAATAATAGTTGTATTATGGTTATATTATATAAATAATATATTATGTTTACAGTGTACATGATTTATAACCAACATTACAACCGTCTTGTTCCGGATATTTCTGCCGAATTTTATTTACAACACACGATGGAATAACAATACGATTACAATTCATTACATATATAAAACCAAAAATTTAATCACTTGTATTTATACGTTCCTATACATATTTAAAATCATTAGTTAACATAATGCATTATATTATGAATGGACTTGTAGTTATCCTACCTTTTCCTATAGAATTCCACGAGTTAATCCAATGAGTAAATTGTTTATAACAAATATACCTCCACATCTTATTTGTTGGTTGTGATGAACATAATATTTTTTTTTGCTTTTATTTTAGATTCTGAGCGGGGCGATTTACCTATAGTAAAACCATATACTATGTTATTTTATTCAAACTCATTATATGTTATTATTTAAGGGAAAATACTATGCTTAATAATAAGTTGTTTTTATTTTATTAAATTATTATTTGTATAATTTACTATGAATTTGTTTTTCTAATATACCTATATAAAATAAGCTTTTTTTGTTTATATTTTGTGATAAAATATTACTAGAAAAATACTAGTTTTTAAGAAACATAAAGACCTATAAGTAGAGCAAAGACTGCAAACTAAAAAATTGTTATGAATAAAAATGTTATTTTGTTTTAAAAAAAAGGTGTAATTGTTAATAAAAAAGTAAATAAACTATGTTAAAATTAAAGTATCTAATACCTATGTGTTATTTTTATTTTTATTTGTATGATTATGGACTTTGTTTTTAATAATTATAAAATAAGGTTTTATTATTTATAAATATAATACAAAACATTGTAGCAATTTACCAGTAAAAAAAAAAGTATGGAGTATATTTGGTTTTTTCATGAAATAGTTGATTATGAAAAATAAAATTCTAGGTCGTTTTGTAAAAAAATAGCTAATAAAAAATATATCTTAACTACATTTAATCTTTAAATTATATCAAAATTTACTATTTAATGGAAATAGTACGTTCTGATGAAATATGGCCAAAACGTACTATTTCCATTGAATTTTGACAAAACGAACTAAGTCGTGGAAATAGTACATTTTGGCACGATTCACTTTATGAAATGACGTTTAAATTTACCAAAACTTAAATTTAAATATAAAAAAATATCATAAGTAGGTTCAGTTTTTTTTTATGTATTTTTTGAATACTTAAGGTTTTTACTATGATTTTTTGATAAGCTACTATAGAAAATCAATGTTTCTGGAAAAAACAAAAAATGGAAATAGTACGTTTTGCATTGTCGCCCCTCAATTAAAAACATCATTTTCAGGAAATTAGTGATGCCTCCTATACCGCCGGGGCAGTGCGATGTAAGGATGCAATATAAATATAAATACTTTAGTTTTTGAAATTAATAATTCTAATCAAACATATTATTTTCAGGTGCCGAGAGTAGAAGCAAAGTAAGTTTTTAACAGGAACATTTGTTCTCAACAAACCATTTTCTACCTTTTTTTTCTTTATGTTTTTTTTCAGATGATCAATAAAACAATGGCCTGAAAAACATGACTATTTCATTTACAATTATATTTTCTTTTCCTTTTCCTTTCCAACTGTATATTTTGAAATTACTATGTGTGTACTGAGCGTACAGTATGAAAGATTTTTTAAATTTCTATAAGTTACCAATACATATTGTTCATACTATTGTAACACAATAAATTATATGTGTGGTGTGTGGATCAAATAAGATAATAGTTATAAGGGTTCTAACTTCTAAGGATGTCAGTGAAATTAATGACCTAGGTAGGTGTTGTATAGAATTATGTCTAAAGTATGTAACAAATAAATAAATACGACGTCATTAAAAGATTTTAGAATTAATAGTCTACAATGAGTAAAACAAATACAACATCAATTATTGTAAAAATATTGACTTATAATATAAAATAAATTACACAACTATTAAATATTGTTTTAACTTTTTTACATAAGAATACCTATGATATTATAATAAGTATTAAAAATAGTTAACAGCAATTTGTACAGTGGCATTACTCCACTAAAATAAATAAATTAGCAGTCTACTATAATAGTCACTATAATATTGAATGGTACTTGAAAAAGTTTGACATAAAAAGTAAATAAATAAATAATATATGTGTTTCCGTCTCATCTGAGAGTTACTATTATTCACAGCAATGACCACAAAGTGACAAAAGAAATTATATCCATTCACGGTGACGTAGTATGTAGTAACACACTACATAATATTATAATTGTTAGTGAATAAAATAGTTTCATCAATGGTGTCATAATATTATGTGAAACAGTAATAATAATAAGAAAAAAATTAATCAACAGCAATTCGCAGCTAACAAAATGTTGTATTACACATTACAATGTATTACCTATTAGATTAGATTAGATATAAAACGAAAAAGAAAGGAACACAGCTATTAAATGGTGTTTATACAAAAAATATCTACAACAGCCGTTCGAACACCGACATAAAAATTTAAATGACATAATAATATG